ACACCCTTCTGCATAATTACTGCCCAGAACAGTACCTCTCTTCTTAATTAACCTCAATGCTGCACACATGCACAGCTCAGTCAGGGCGACAACGTTTTATATTAAGCCCATTATCACAATTGGGTCAAAGTGTCTTCTAAATGATTCTAATTCACACTTTTAAAAAATTAATTTTGTGTGGATGACTTTTAAGAAAAGTCAAAATAATTTCAACTGTCACTCTTCTCAGGGCTCTCCACACACATAGCACATAGACCCAGCCACCGATCTCACTGGAGAAGAATGGCTCAGCACAACAGTGTTATTTCAGGAAGACAGAGCAAAGAAGATCATTAGCAAGAATGAGACCTCATTTGCATTGGTTTTGTATTCGATCTTTCATTAGTTAGTCATTTAGACAATTTGGGATGTCTTTTATTTGATTTCTCTTGTATAAACAAACAGTATTAGCCATGCCACAGACACAGACTCTGTTGTTGGTCTCCTACCTGGTGCACAGCAGTGTTTTCAGTACATAGAAATGTCTTCCTGCCTTGCAAAATATTCTTAGAGTTGAGTAAGGCTCATTTCTATTCATTATTATCTATCCATTTGGTTACTGGCTCTTTCCTTAAATTACTTGTAGCATTAGCTTGAAAAAGCATTTTAACAAAAGTAAAAATGAAACTATCATATCTTCCCGATCTTTTTCTACACTGTAGCTTCAAGAGGGTGGAACTTGTATTTCTTCTGTGATGGCCCTCAGCTCCGGACAGTTACCCATTCATCTTTCAGATGACATAGAGAGTTCTGCCAAAGCTAGGATGAATGCTGGTCTCTTTTCATGGCCACCCTGGTTAATTATTAACTCATTAATTCGCCATTGGCAAATTTTAAGTAGCATGGCTCCCAGAAAGCCAAGAGGCTTGCCATTGGATAATTGCCCATTCTCAAAATTCTGCTTCATCATCACATTGCTCAGCTTTTCAGACGTGTACCTGCCAGTGGAATGTTTCATGCCCATCCCACATTAGAAACTGACCTGCACATGACTTTCTGCCATTAAAGAATGACCTAGAATAATATCATGATATAAATACATTTGAATACACGTTTAAAAAAGCTATACATATTACAAGAATTTTTGTCTAATACTTACCTTTTGCCTGCATGTGTGAATAAGCAACTCTCCTTCCATTAGCCCACTCTATGAGACAAAGAGCAGAAGCCATGACAAAGAAAATGCTATTTTCCTCTCCACTGAGTGTTGCTTTTCAGCTTTTAGTAACAATCACTGTTTAACAATCATTAACTGAGAGTGCACTTATTTCATTTTCCACTGAGAGAAAAATGAAGAATTTTGAACTCCCCCTTAGCCTAGAAGTAGAAAACTTCTATAATTTATACTGTTGGTGTCACCACAGCCAAAGAGTTGTAGGTATACAAACGTATGCTGATTTCAAAATCTACTGATGATAGTTTTGCTTCATCACATATTTAAATTTTTTAAAGTAAATATAATTATTATTTTGACATTGCTTAATTTATGTTTTTAATTTATTTGCTTATTAGGTCTTACACTGGCCCAATAAAAGTAGAATAAAATGTATAAATACAAACTATAAAATGTAATGTGTTCTAATCCCTGACACTTATCAAGAGGAGAAGTTGAAACAAAGAGTGCACTATTAATCTTTGGGGTGGATCTGAGAATTCCACCTAAGTATTCATTCATGACTCTTAGACCACAGTGGTCATCACTGACAAGGACTAGCCTATGTTTCTCCAGTCATCTCCTGGCTGTTGGCTAAGCCATCCTCTCACCACTAAAGTCACCTCTATGAATTGCACAAGATGGAGAAGAGCCCTTCTGCCACGAATTTTCATACAGAGCTACTGCAACATTGCTGTTGCTTTTTAAAAAAATCAATTATCCTCTGTGTTTCATGTCCGCCTTATCTTTGCAGACTCCTGGCCACTTGCTACTGTTGGTCACTGTTACATTAAACACTTTGTAGTAATACAGTCATTGTCTTAAGCAAATTACCCAAACCAAGAAAAGAATGTTGGCTTCAGCTCACTCACATCCAGCAGGTACTTCTTCGGAAAGTGCAGATCCCTTGGCCACAACAGCTCCTTACATCACGTTACAGAGACCCTTCACTCAGAGGCATACAACACACAGAATATGGCAGAATTAAGACATCTCCACTATTCATCCTTGCTTTGTAGCTTTTGGACTCAGTCAATCACTACATGGATTCATTCATTTTTTAAGAAAATAAATAATAATAATTTTAAGACATAATTATTTTAAGAAAATAAATAAATAATTTTGAACTAGCCATTGCAACAACTTGAATACTTTCTTAATCATGCTGTCTGTATATCATTAACCACTTAGGAAGGAGCAGTGACTTTCTCTTTGGGTTTACTACTTTCCCTGCAGACTCACAATTCTCTAAGTTTAGCACATATTTTTATAACTATATTCATTGTTTTTGTTTATACATATTTATTCATTCCCACATTGAGCAATCAGGAAAATATATAAATACAAAGATCGAAAAGAACTACATTGTATATCCCTGGTATCTAGGTATGTGACCATATAATATAAACATAAATATATAAGCACAGACAATGGGCTATGGGATCTCTGCAATAAACCTCATAAAATGTAAACACATTCATCGTACTAACTCCTCTTCTACCAGCAGTCATCATTGATTCAAGGCCGATGATCTATTTCCCTGACTAATATCTTGCCTTCTCATTGATGCACTGATATGTTAGAAATAAATGTTAAGTCCTATGATTCACAAAATACCAAGAACACACTTGATATTCCTAATCTATATTTTGAGCAATCTTAAAGTAACAGTAATTCATTCAGGCATCCATAAATGTATAATCAATAGAAGACTTAATTCCTCATTAATTAATGGGATATGGTTGGTCATCAGTAGTCACATACTTGGAAATAATGTATTGACCATTCTTTTTTCGGGAGGCAAGTTTCAAGACAGGGTTTTACTGAGTAGGTCTGGCTATCTTAGAATTGGCTTTATAGACCAAGTTGACCTTCTATTCAGAGCTCCACCTGCCTCTGTCTCTAGAATGCTGGGATTGAAGGTATGTACCACTACACCTGGTGATATAAGGCATTGAATTTTCTTAAGAAAATCACTCAACATAAAATAACACTGGAAGATCACTCACGTTAGCTCACACTCCTCAGGGCAGTGCCGAAAGAGCTTGCAGCCATGGAGGATGCTCCAATCACACAGCATGTCAATTTTGGGGAGCAATGAGGAAAGAAGAAAACAAAATTAACTTTTTGGGGGGTTTCCTAGTAATGACATGTGCTTTTCACCTGTCACTGGCCATTTGAGCAACCATTTTTTGGAATAAATTTAATATTATCTCTTAAAAAATGAAACTTTCAAGCTTGCTCAAGCGTTGTCTGTAATTTACACTGTTAACATCAGCATTAGCAAAAAATATATTTTAAAGGTAGCATAATGTATTCTATACATACTGATTTATTTATTTATTGGTTCTCCTATTTTGAGAATTAGGCAGTGCTCCATACATTTTATTTCTACTTATTTTTAAGATTAATTGATTCACACATTGTTACAATTTAAAAAAATGGAATTTATAACACCAGAGAAAAGTGAATACATTCTACAGTTCTAAAGAAGACTCGAAATGAAGGGGATAGATTATGTTTCATCTTTAGTAGATCTCAGAGTTCCAGAAATGTCGTCATCCATGCGACTCAAGTGCTACCAGAGATCCTTGTCCATCGTGACTGCTCCTTTCTTTCTAACCACTACTCCTTCATTGCTGTTAATTAGTTCAATAACTGACTAATAATAACTTGAGCACCTATCATTCAAATAACCCTACGAAATCTTTTTGATTCCTAATCTATATGGAATTGTTCTAAGCTTAACAATTGTCCTCAGTACTTCATAAATAATCGACAGCTTTCACTCACTCCTGGGGCTCTCCCTGGAATGGAGCGGCCATCCTTAGTGCCAAACTAGATTTTTCAGTCACACCTTAAGCTCTGCTAAGCAAATGAAAGAATCCTGACCATTACTCACAGCGGTCTGCTTAGCCTCGCCCATGATGCCAGCAGAGCCCCCAGTCATGGAGGCGTCCAACGTCAGCAGAGGTCTAAGGAATGCAAAGCAGAGGAGATAAAGAGAAAATTAAGACATTGCTACTGACCTCTGACTTTCACTTACTCAGCCCTAGGTAATCATTCCTAGGATGAGGATATCTATTTAATTAGCTCTTAAATAAATATTGGCAAGCTTAGCAATGATTTGGACATTCACAATGTTATGCTTTATAACTATCATCATCTGCTGAAAAGCAGATGTGAAGGGTTCTTATTTGTCCTAAAAAGTACTTCTTGTTCATCATGTAATTTTTAATTGGACCACACTCATTTATTTCTATTTGTATATTTATTAATTCTTGTACTGATCCAACTAAAAGACCATTAGGAAATGCATCTATATGAGGACAGAAGTCTACCTCTACTGTGGACAACTGGACTTTATGACGGACCTCAGAGATGCAGTCTCTCTTTGTAACTCACATCTGCCATCAAGGTCACCAAGACTGACCCCATTTTCTCTACTCATTTTTCCATTGTGAATATAAATGTGGCTCCTTCCAAGAACTCTCCTCCTTTTAACATGTAACTATAATCTATCTGAAATACTATTTTATACTAACTCCATATACGTTCTTTCTTACACTTTGACCTAGAGGGGACACCTTTCCCATCTTAGAAACATAGTGACTTACCTTCCACAAACCACCAAACCCATGACAAGAACGTTGGCCAGGTCTCACATCATCTCAAGACACTGGCGGGCTGGCAGCCATTAAAGATGAACAGATCCCTTTAGAAGACTCCACTCTAACACAGAGCAAAGCAGAGGACAAAACAATGACAATGATGCTAGCAATCTTTATGTCGCCACGTATCTTCGATGTTGGATCTTGGTGTTCAGACACATAGTCATCATGTATGATTCAAATGCCACCAGGGGTCATCATCAAGTCAAGATTAGCTTCCTTTTTCTATTCACTTCTACTTTGTCTACTAATTAATTATAAACCCTATGATTAGTAATCCTGACCCCCACAAAAATAATCTTTTTGTGGATTCTCTCTAATATATCCATCGTGTTAATAATATACACCAGTTACTACATTTGTATTAAGAATGACAATTTCATGTAGTTTCCATATCTGCTACTGGTCTTCAGATAGCCATCACTAACTATAGCATTCACTGTTTAAACACTATACTAAACCACTCAAACAAAGACAAGGAGTTTCTTGTAATTCACACTGGTCTGTTCTCCTCCACAGCAGGGTGAAAATGGAGCCCTTGACCCTTGGAGGGTCCTCTAATTACATGGGTCACCCTGAGTACAGAGGGGAACGGAAGGGAGGGGGAGGGAGAGGAAGTAAAGGAAGGGGAGGGGAAGAGAGCATGATGAAATACTTACAAGAAGGCAGCAAAGGTGAAAACACTGGAACCTCACTCACATCTGTCCCAGGCTCTATGTGAAGATACAAGCAAATGCTGATGAACATGGACAAACATGTCAGCCACGTGAGAACCACCACTCCAAGGATAGTACACAACCAAAGTAGGGTTTTTTGTTTGTTTGTTTTAAAAAGTCCTATTTCTCCCTTTGTCTTCTATGATTAACTGACATTTGAACCATTCATAAAAGCCATCATAATTTTAAAATATTTATACTATGGCCTTGTAAAATGAGTATCTACAAACTTCCACGAAGACACGAAGACAGATACTATCTGCTATTGACACTCTTTCCTCTGTATACAAAAACAGCTGTAGGCTACTTGCTCCTCTTTGATTACATATTTTCAAGGTACTAAGGATTGTTTTTTGGCCTTTAAACTCTGGTTTATAACTGAAAAACGTTTCACACACTTATCTTGACTATTTTCTATATTTATCAGATATTCAAGGAATTAAAAGAACAGTAAGAAATATGTGAAAAATGAAATCACATCTGCTACAGGATGGACCCCAGAGAAAAGCACATGTACAACATCCTGTGTTCATCATCAGTTCACCCTGACTCTAGTCACCTCTGTTCACTCACATTTCGCCTTCCGATTGAATCATTAATTCACTAGTAAAAATGGAAACTTTATTATTCCCCAAACACTGAAATAGACTAGACGTCATGCCTCTATAAGGAACAAATTTACCTCAAATTGTCTCCTTCAGTGAGGAGCCAGGATTTATCAAGCAAGGCCAACTCAATGTCCTATTTCATGTTAAGTCTGTATATGTCACGTTTATACTTGGCATAATGCAATCATAGTTAAAACTTAATTTTATTGAATATATTCACTTGTGTTTATGAGAGTACATGCCAAGGACAAGTGGATAAAGGCCAAAGTCCAATATTTGGGAATCAGTCCTTTCTTTCCACCACGTGGATACTGGAGAATAAACTTAGGTAAATAGATTTGCAGCAACTGCCTCCTCCACTCATGATGAGTCATCTCATCAGCTCCTATTATACGCTTTTCAATAATGAAGTAAGTAACCTTCAACAAACCACACAAAATACAAGGACACTAGCTAGTACTCACGGTCTCCCAAGAACAATGCAGCCACTGAATGTTGTTCTGGTGACCATGAAGACTACAGGAATCACCTCAGGAGAACCAATTCTGAGGAATAGAGAGCAGAGCACAAGATTAAAAAAAAATGGCACTCTCCTTTAAGGACCCTTACCTATCTACTCATCTGCCGCGTCGGACCTTAGAGTTTCAGACAGGTATCATTCATCATCTCTCTCATACCTTGGTAGCTGTCATCATCGGTCCAGCAAGGCTTGCTCTCTCCTCCTCCTCCTCATCACTGTTTACTGCCCAAGCCAATAGCTGACTAGTAATGCCAGTCACGCACAGGTGTACAACAGGAGCACAGCTCTCGAATGTCTTTACAGTGGAGCCCATATCAATGGGTGCACACGTACTATTAACCATGCTCAGATTCCGGACATGCTTAGTACACAGGCCCATCTTCATCCCAAATGATGAGGCAAAAAGGGACCTATAGGATTGTATCTCATGCCTTGTAAAACTAAATGTCTACCAAAACATAGAGAAGAGCTATGGCTGTCATCCAGACTTACCTTGATACAATTAATAAACATAGGGAATTATGCTGTCATCTTATAACATCCGTTAGGGGAAAGCAGGAAGGAAAAGAGAAGATAAATGATTGTTAAAGGAAGATAAAACCATGATTTTCAACTTTGATTTAAAGAGTGATATATCTAATCCTTAACTAAATAATACAATTTATCTCTTAATAAGACAAGCACATTTAATTATGTCCGCAGACTCAGAACATAAACAATGGCTATGAGGTATTCTGTATGTATTGTCCTTAATGAAAGGACAGTATGGGATGGCTGCATACAATAGTGGACTCAGTCTCAGCATGCGTCAGTATCGGGTGGTAAGGAGTTATGACTAATGCTGTAGTCTGTGCATACGTGCAGATGGCACATGGACATAAGGGTACTTCTCGTGTAATTTTACCTAGTAGCAGATGTCTTGGTACACAGGAACTTTTTGTTGTGGTGTTTGAGCATCACTAGCTATTTGTGCAATGTGGGGGGAAATGGCTGACGAGAAGGTACCCAAAATTTGCTATTAACATTATGAAAGTGGGAAACTCTCTAGAAAAAAAAGTGAATCTAAGAGTAAAGATGATAACATTAATATGAAATACAAAGACTAGGAAATGATGTGAGAGTTGGATTAGGGCTTCAGTTTTCCAATGTGATGTTAAAATTATCACTACATTAATTAATGTTCTACATGCTGCTTAGGAATAAAGATATAACATTCCCAACATCTTAACACCATCTGCCCAAAGTGTGAGCCTAAACGGGGTATCAGTCACGGTGCCCTGTGAGTGTCAAAGTAACATCAGAGAAAGTCTCAATCACTGGAATCTTCTCTGGTAAGATCAGTAATTCAATCAGGCTGTCTGGGGAAAAGAAAGGAAACAATGAGAGGGCATCTCCCGGATGGAAAACACAGCTATTTATCACGAGAGAAGGGAGCAGGATTTCACTCTAAGAAATTGGGTACTTAGAGCCAATTTGGTGAGATTGTCTCAAATATTATATTGATTGAGAAAATGAAGACCAAGTTCTGCAATGGATTGTACTGATTATGTTTCACAAATTTTAAGCATGAGATTCTTAGTGTTACTATCAAATAGCTGCCCCAAAAACCAAACTAAGTCCAAAAGGGACAGGCATGTGCCTATGGGCCTCTATCCACAGCTTAGCATGGGGAGGCAGGTATCCAGCTTTTCCTTGGGTTTCTGGACACATGGTGTCCATCGAATATCACTCAAACACCAGAGGTCTCACCATGCATTGCAGTTGGGTTCCCTCTCTTCCTGACCTCCTGCATGGCTGGACTTCTGAGGTGCTCAGGGGAACACGGATTGAAGAATGGAAAAGAAGGTAAAGTTGTTCAGCCTGGTGATCCCTAACAGGTCCCTGTGAAAACAAGTCATGACTCATTACTGTCCGGCTTCAACTAATATGTAGAAACACCTTACTGCCAATGCACATACCTCTAATCTAGTCAGCAGGGCTTGGCGATTTCACAGTGGCCACAGTGGCTGGGGGTGGGGGGACACAGTGGTTCTGGGGGAGGAGGGAGTCCTCGGTCAAAGCACGCTGGCACCATAAGGTATGTCAGTCCATCTGAAGGGTACAGAGCAGAGAACAGAGAGACAATATTGAGACCATGTAGGATATCACTTTGTGTCCTCTCTACTACCTAGCATGCATGTCTATGGTCAGTTAAGAGGAGCACTAATTTCGTATCATGCGTATGGAACAAGGACCGGATCTTTTCTAAGTTAGCACTGTGACCTGTATCGGGTTAGCCTCTCAATTTCCCCTATACTTGTCCAAGCGCTATGCGATACTAGGCTGTGATCTACTAAGCAAGTCACAAAATATATTCTAACGAAATTTACATAAAATTGCTATCCAGAAATCTAGGTACATGGGTATGACTCTAGTACCCAAGCCTTCTCAACTCTCTCTCCCTGAAATGGTCACTGGAGGATGCAGAACATCCAAAGAGAGATTGCTCTGTGCCTGACCTCAGATATCTGTTCACATGGCTGTCATTGAGAAACACTCAGACGCCACCAGATCTCATCATCGGTCCCTGGTTGGCTGCTCTGTCTGGAGCCATCGGGATTGGCTCATTCACTGCTCTGTGTGGCAGCTCGGGAGGCCAAACTAGAGGAACCTACTCTGCACTGGGAGATCTCACCACCTGCCCTTAAAGTTAGGAGTAAGTTGACCGTTATTTTCAATACCCTGTGTGTTATACGGCTCTTAATGTGACCTTTCCTACCTGTCACCAGGTGCCAACAGGAGGATCAACGCAGTTGTTGTCTGCTACCATGGGCTTGTTACTGACAGCATGCCATCCCGGGAAATCACGATCATGGACAACTTCTGCAGGCAGTTTGGTTGCCTCTCTGGAAGGGACAGGGCAGAGAAAGGAAGAGAAATATTGAGACTTTCTCTTCCTAGAGTTCCACAATCTACCTTTCAAGGGGAGCTGCATGCAAGAATTCTCTCTAGGGAACTGGGCTTACAAATCACATATTAAAGTGGATAGTCAACCTCAGGCTGACAAAAATACAAGGCAGACCAAAGGATGTATGAATATTGCTTCTAAGTAGTATTTTCCCATAGCAATCCAGCCCACAATCCACAGTCCACAAGGGACGGGCATGTGTTTATGGGCCTCCATCCACAGTTTAGCACATTAAAGCGGGCATCGGGATTGACCTCAGATTTCTGGATACTTGGCGTTCATCGAGTATCACTCCAACGCCACCAGATCTCATCATCGGTCGTGGATGGGCCCCCTCTCTCCCTGACCTCCTGCAGGGCTGGATTATTTAGGTACTCTGAGGAAAGCAGTGATCACATAATGGGACACACTACTTTCT